AGATTATCTACTTGCTATTTCTGGAACTTGACTTGAAACTTAAACAACTCTTTATTCTTTTTGTTTGTTTTGTTAATTTATTTTGATTTATCAACAGTCACTTCCATAAGCTTTGAGTTTTTAATTTTTCTCCTCCTCCCTGCCCAAGGCAGTGTGCAATCTGATATAGGCTATACATATACATTCCTATTAAACATTTTCACATTAGTTATGTTGTAAGGAAGAATTGGAACCAATAGGAGGAACCACAAGAAAGAGAAAACAAAACAACAAATGCTTTATTCTTTTTTTAAAAATTGATGTTACTTTGCAGTATTCTCCACTCCTCCTTCTCCTCTCTCCCCTATAGAAGACTTCTTTGTAATAAAGTATAGTCAAGCAGAACAAATCATTACGTTGGTTGTGCCTAACAATATACACCCCATTTTGTCCTGATATTCTGTCTCTTTGGTAAGGTGAGGTGTTTCATTGTCAGTTTTTTGGATTCATGATTGGTCATTGCCTGAATTAGAGATCTGGTGTTCCGATGTTGTTTTTCTGTAAATTAATGTGGTTATTGTGTAAATTGTTCTTTTGGTTTTGCTTCACTCTCAATCAGTTTGTATAAATCTTCCCAAATGTCTCAAAAAATTATTATCTATCATTTCTTAGAGCACAATAGTACTCTTTTACATTCATATACCAGTTTGTTCAGCAGTTTTCTTTGTTTAGAAAAGAGATTTGGGAAGGAGGAGGAGATAAGATAGCTGTCTTCAAGCATTTGAAGAGCAGTTATGTGTAAGAAGGATTAGGCTTGTTCTATTTTGTCTCAGAAGGAAGAATCTGTAATGATGGGTGAAAATTTCAAAGAAGGGGCAGCTAGGTGGCGCAGTGGATCGAGCACCGGCCCTGAAGTCAGGAGGACCTGAGTTCAAATCTGACCTCAGACCAAACACTTGACACTTACTAGCTGTGTGACCCTAGGCAAGTCGCTTAACCCCAATTGCCTAAAAAAAAAAATTTCAAAGAGGCAAATTTAGGCCCAACGGTTAGAGCTGTCTAGAAGTATAAAGTGCCTTTGGAGGCAGTGGGTTTGCTCTCATTGGAGGGCTTCCCAGAGAGGTTGGATAACCACTTATTAGTACAGGGACTCTTTTTCTGGGTGAGTTGGAATAGATGGCTAGCTACTGAGGTCCTTTCCAACTCAGTAATTTTGTAACATTCAGTAACAACTCTACGAATAGTAGATTTGTGTGCCTGTTTTCAAATAGCTTCTTGGACATTAATCATTTTTATTTTTTGTCAGCTTTGTCAACTTGATGAGTATCACCTCATAGGTGATTTAGAAATTTCTGTTTCTTTTATTGGTGAGTTTTAGGATTATTTCATATGGTTGTTGATAGTTTACATTTTTCTTCTGAAAACTTTCCATTGATATCCTTTGAGTATTTACTTTTGTTCAAGGATGACTTTTGTCCTTATATATTTGCATCAATTTTCTCTCTCTCTCTCTCTGTCTCTCTCTCTCTCTCTCTCTCTCTCTCTCTCTCCATACATATATATATATATACATATATATATGTATGTATATTTATAGGACATCAAATATCTTATTAAAGATATTCTATATAAAGGGTTCCCCCTCCCATTCAACAGCTTCTCTTATTCTAGCTTCATTGATTTTTTTCATGAATTTTTGTGTAATTATACTTATTTATTTTATATTTTTAATCAGCTTTATGTCTTTTCTAAGAATTACCCATTCATAATTGTGAAAGAAATTCCCTTCCATTCTCATATGTGTGTGTGTGTGTGTGTGTACACACACACACACACATATATACACACATACACACATGTATGTGTGGTCTTTTTGTGTGTGATATGACATTTTATATTTAGGTCCCATAGTCATTTTGAGCTTTTGTGGTATATGGTGTAAGATATTCCTTAAAATCTAATTTATGCCAAATTACCTGAGCAGTTTGTATTCTTTCATTTATTGAATATTGGTTATGTCTATCCTTTTGCAGTATTTTTGCATCAACTTATTACTATTACTGATAATCTTTTACATTAGCCACTTATTTATAGCATAAGGCTAGTGATACTTATAGATCTGGTCCAATACTACTAGTTGCTCCTTTGGCAAATAATGAAGAATTGGCTAAGACATGATCTGTAACCAAGGCAAGTTTGCTGTGTATATTAACAGCTCACTGCCTGGTGATTGTGAAGGAAAACAGCAACAGCCTCAGATGTGTGGTCCTGTCTGCCTTCCAATTAGTGAAGTCCCGGATTAAATGAAGATCAACCATGGCAGGGTACTATTGTAGCTCAGCAACTATCCATTAGCACTAGAGAAAGAATGCTCACAGAGGGCAGTAATTCTTCAGGACTAGAGAGAAAAATTGGACAGTACTTTTGACCAAGTAAGCCTTCTTCTATTACTAGAGTTGTTTTACTCTCCCAATTTTTTTTTTGTGAGAGGACACTTTCAATCACTTCACAAAATGCAGTTTTTGAGTTGTATGAGATTGAACTGTGTCACATTGAATAGTGCATATGTCTGTGGTTTGGGCTCTAAAAGATGTCTTAAAATGCTCCCCCATGTGTTGTGCCATTGTCATCACCACCTAGGTCTCACTGTAACTTACCAGCAATAAGTGGTCCCTGGTAAAAGCCACTGCAGAATTAACCACCACTAAGAGCATCATTAGTCGGATAATTCTGAATCTCAGCCAAGCACTTTTACCTGATGTGGCGGTGGTGGAATGGGTCTGTCACATCAGTCATTGTTCACTTAAATCTTTCCACCAGGAAAGAGGTTTCAAGATTTAAAGGAACTTGGTTTATTGACAGAGACAAAGATTACCTCTTATTTAAAGAAATGATAGATGTTTTAGTAATGATCTCTACTTTTAGCAAAAACAGAGTATTGATAATTTTGCATAAAATATATGTAGGAGTAAACTCTTCTATGTGAGGTACCAAAGCTATGGTGTCTTGTCTTGTCCGTTATAGAATCTCAAATTTTATTGAAATAAACAATGATTTTTTTTTCTATATATGTACCTAAAGCTACTGGAATTATTGTAGTCATTATATACTAGTGTCATTATACACCGGTGATCTGTCATTGAAGAGAGCCTATAAGAATGGAACCAATAATAGAAATATTCAGTTCAGTAAATGTTTATTATACATTGATATTCTTGGGACAGTGCATATGCTCCTTCCCCCCCCCCCCGAGTATGATGTTCACAATACATACATTTGGTCTTGGAGAAACCTGCCATCCTGGGAACTTCTTGAAGATATTTTTATTTATGTAGAAATTTGATTTGCTGCTATAATGTTTATTGTGGCATCAGTTGGATACTTTTATTGAACTAAATGTGTATATGTATATGTGTGTGTGTGTGTGTGTATAGCAAAAGGCAGTAGCAATATATACCTCATGAATATCCAAATGTATCCAAAATATCAGAACAGTAGTAAAATGGACCATAAATATATGAGCTGAAACCTCATTAAGCACTTAACTGTAGGTGTGAAGATGCACAATTGAATTCTGAGTGATTTTATTGCTAATGCTGTCTCTCTGTGCTGTGCCCAACCTCCATTAAAGGGCAGAGGATTACATTTTCAGTTTACTTAATTTTCTGAGGACAGGGTTTGATATCAACAATAGACTAGAAGTACTTTAGCATAATGGATAGTAAGCCTTTAGGTATCTTTACAAGAATAGGTGATATCAGATGGAAATATTTGAGCACAGACAATATAAAGTTTTCATCTCTTTTTATTTCTTTCATTCTAAAACTTTATTTTTTAAATCAAGAAGCATGGAATTGATCATCTGTCTTTAGATGATTGGAAAAAAAATCTTTGTAACATAAGCATTATACTCAAATACGTATGACTTATCTATTGGCAGAAACAAGAGGAGAAAAATCATCCCTCCATAGAAAGGGGAAAATAAGGGGAACTACAACTTAGAATGAAGACTGTTATTTCATCTGTTAGGAGAGGCAGAAAGCTGAGTGCCGATAAGCCATTCTCTTTTATTTTACTTAAATTTGTTAATTTACAAAACTCTGGGAAATATGTGAAAGTCATTCATAGATGCTATAATAGCTAGTAACTATGTAGATGCCTACAGTTATTCAATTTGTAGATGAATTGTGTATTTTATATGGTCCTCTAATTTGTAAGCACCTCTAACAGCAAGATAAAAATCAGGAATGAGAAGCGATATGAAATACTGTTCACAAACTGTGCTGTTTGTCATAAACTTTATTGTAGAAAGATGAAATTGTTAACTGAAATGAATTTTAAGTTTTGTGAATAAGTTTTTGTTGAAATAGTATAGCTCAGCAGCATTAACAGTGTTCATGATAGTAGCAGTTAATGTCATGGAATAGGCTTAAATGACAACTCTGTTTTAAAGCCAAGGGTAGACTTGATGATTACTTAGCTAATTCAATCCTTTTTCTATTTCCATATTTTTCCATCCTTTATCTTCTGTGCATTTTTACTCCCTGCATTTGTTTAGGCTGGTAGAGAATTGTTAGAAATAAAGTCATGGAATTTTGGAGTTGAAAGGCATGATGGAAATCACCTAGTATCACCATTTCATTTTTATAGGTGAAGCAATGGAAGCCTAGAGAAGTCGATTTATCCAAGGTCATACAGGTGGTTAGATGCAGAACTGGGACTAGAACTCATGTCTCTTGATCGTCAGTCTAGTGTGCTTTCCTCTACACGATGTTGGTTACATTTTAAAAAATTAACGTCTCTTTTATTTTTTTAACTGAGTTTCAATGTGTTCCTCCTTGCATTGAGTGTAAGCTGATCTGGATCAATCTATATACCTGCACCTTTGATTGACATAAATACTGGTCCTAAAAAACCAATTATTAAACTATTAAAAAATTATTAAAATATTAAAATTATTGTAATTTCAAAAAAGATACCTGAATAACATTTGCACTTTATTTTTCTTTGGTTTCATGCAGGCAAAGACCATGTTTGCAGATTCATTGGCTGTGGGAGGAATGATCGGTTCAATTATGTGGTCATGCAATTGCAGGTAGGTTTTCTAGAAGAAGTTTTTAAAATCCTTTCCAATTTTGATGAAAGACTCTAATAAAGATCTGATATTGATAATAAAGAGAACAGTTGTGAACAGGTTATTGATGCCACATCAGAGTTTTATGATGGTTTTGATGTGAAACTCCATATATTAAAAAAAAAAGATAAACTAGGAGATGATTTGTCATTCAATAATTCTATTAAATAGTAGTTACCTTGGGGCATTTAAAAAATAGTTAGATTTAATTTTACAAATGTCTGATTTTGCCTGCAACTTTTTAGAAATATGCTTCATGCATGAAATAAGTATATACAAAAGGTATACCTATGACATAGTAAATAATTTTAGCATTAGCAAATTAGGCTGAACATGCACAGTGCTTGGCACATACATTGAACGTTGACTAAATGACAACCCCACGTGCTACTCATGATGCTGAAGGGAGCGTTGTACAAAACAAGTTAGTAGATGCAGCCCCTTCCTCATACTGGAGGTTTATAAACTTCAGTGGACAGCAGAAACAGGTAGACCTGATTTCAGGAAACATGAACTGATACTTACTCAAACACTGAAATAATGTTTCACCTAAGCACAAGCTGAAATAAACTAATAACGTCAGCTCTTGGAGAGCAGGGACTATATTGTTTATATCTGTATCCTCAGCACCTGACAGAGTTCCTACCCCATATGGAAGGATTTAGTAAGTGCTTATTGAGTGAATGAAATATACACACCTGCTATTACAAATATGTATGATGTTCTGGTTTTATATGCTACATATTGGAATAGGTTAGCGTTTTGCAGTATTATTTGTAGTCTATGACATGCCCATGAACTTGTTGGAACACAACTAGTATATGTATTAGAGGCAGACATTTCTCTTGCACTGCCATTTGTCCATCCATACATAATACTTCCTTCTATACAGACATCCAAGCCATTCTCCTGGGGAAGAAATCTTACACTGTTCCTTCACTCCATTGGATCAAAAGTGGACCAGTGCACAGCCCAGTACTTGACAGATAATAAATACCTGACAAGTGCTTTTATTTCAAGCGGGTTGACAAAACCCCAAATATGTTACATCACAACTTAGTAAGAATGACTCCTCCTTGAAGTGCTTGAGCACCAAAATTACTGGTCGGGAAATGGTGAAATAGGTAATAGAGGGTTAAGGAAATATTTGTTTGAAATGTAATTCCAGTTATGAGTTAGGATTTTAAGGACACTTCAAAGAAGCGCAGTGCTCTGGGAGGGGAAAGGATATTTCAAGTAATGAGTATAGCTCAGAAAAAGTACAAACTTGTCAGTGGGCAATTCAGACTGAGTGAATGATGATTAGATTTCTCAAGGGGGAAAGTGTTGGGTGATGAAAATGTATTCATCTGTTGTGCCATGGTGAAGACCTTTGAAAGAAGAGAACTTTGGTCCTAATTCAGTGTGACATAGGAAATCACTTTGAGAGTGGTAGGGAAAGATAACAAAATACAGTGTGGGTAGAGAATACAATAGTCATTGGTTGTCAGAGATAGTTTTTAATTAGGCAACATTTATTGAGCATCCATTGTTTGGAATGTGTTCTCCTAGGTGCCTTGGAGTTAAAGAGTGATTAAAAGAGTTGGACTCAAGAAGTAAATTATTTCCTGGTGGGGTAGGAAGATAGAATTCCCATATAGTTCAGCACCTCTTTAAATTCCTTCTTCCCTAAACCCCCAGAACTAAAGGAGAAATAAATACAAGGCATTGACACCTTACATGGAAATATGATGGTTAACTTGTCTCTGTAGGTTTGCATCTATTACATGATATTATTCTCATAGCATCTGTAATGGATGAAGCAAGAATTATTGTCCTGCTTTACAGGTGAAGAAAGCAGGGCACGGAAAGGCTAAATGACTTGTCTAATATCAACGACTAGTTAGTAACAGAGACATTACTAGAAAGCAGTCTTCCAACTCCTAACCCAATTTCCTTTCCATTAGACCCCACTTTACCTAGGAAGATTTTAACGCTCGTTGTAGATTGTTTGTCCAATATGTTACTATAGTCAAAAAAGCTGGTAAAGTCTTGTACATCACTGGTAAAGGTATTAGGGGAAAAAAAACAAAAAATATTCTTGTACCTATGTACAAAACCATGACATGTTTGCGCCTGTAATAATACTGTGTGCTGTTCTGGTAACTATGCTTCAGAAATATAGTGGAGTTAGAGTAGATCCAGAGAAAACTAAATTGACCAAAGAGGAAGAGGCTAAGAGAAAATCTGTGTTATTTAGTTTGTAAAGATAATTGAGAGGAAGATCAAGGTTGGCAGAATGATAAAATTATTTATCTAGGCTAAATATGTACCTGTTCACTAAATCTTAGAACTCTGGAAGTAGGATGCTACCATGAAAAAAGTTTTAGGACAAACAAAAGACTTTATATAATGAATAGTCATCTTGTAAACTTACCACTTGAAAAGGGAATGTGGATAGAGATTATAAATAGGTTCAATATGGGGTTAAGGAAGAATTTTAAAGTTTTAATCTCTACTAGTTTAGTAAAGTGGGTATCTATGTCTATAGGGTACAGCACAAAGTATCGTATCCTGCCATTTAAGGCCCTCCCAGATCTGGTTCTAGCTTACTTTTCCACCCTTATTTCCCATTGTTCCCCTTGGTGGGCTCCACATTCTAGTGTATTTGGAGATAGATATTAGGGAGTATTAACAGTATTAATGCTCTGAATTATTTTATATGCTCTTTGAATAGGCAGGAGTTTTAATACTTTGTTGGGACATCAAAGATAAAGGGAAAAGTGGTGGCTCAGAAAGATGAAATGCTCAAGAACTTTGGCTGTTTATAAATTGGCCTGAAACATCTGAGTCATTGTCTTAAGGAAATCTCTGCTCTTGAATGAAAGAGTCAGTGTTTGAGTGCAACTCTTGACACTTTTATTAAAAAGTGTTGTTTTAAATGGTAAGTGAATAATTTCCTAGTCTTATCTTGGCATCTGGAATTTTGGTGCCTTATTTGAATCTGTGCCTTTGGTTTCTTCAGGGTCGGAATCTGGCTGATCTTCGTCGTAGCCAGTCTCGGGGAACATTCACCATTAGCACGACCCTGCGGCTGGGTAAACAGATTTTGGAGTCCATCGAGAGCATTCATTCTGTGGGCTTCTTACACCGAGACATCAAGCCGGTGAGAGTCTTTGTCAGCCAGAATCCTGGAGGAGTTTGTTCTCTTCTGATATTTGTGATGAGAGACAGTGAGTTCCATGTGTGGCTGGCAGTTTGGGCAGCTGTCACCCACAAGGCTGTCAAACAGAGCAATGTGTTTATCTCTTCACTGTGGAGACCTAAGCAGTAGTCATGGAAGAGGAAAATGTATCTTTCCCTTATTTTTTAAAGAAACTAATAATTATAAAGTATTCTCTCAAAGGTTTATCTTATGCTAGAAAATACATTATTTGAAAATCTCTTATGTTGGATCCATTTTAATTTTAAAGAATGTAATAGTAAATTTGGACAATAGGCACTCTTTATCCACTGTGGACGATTCAGTAGTAGTTGTGAATCACGTCAGAGGCTCTGGAGTGCCCAGAACAGATTTAGCAATGCAATCAGAACAATTTTATGGGCTGCACAGGATCTATAGTCCCTCAAGGTCTAGGAGGGATCCCTTTTCAGTTGAATTCTCTATGAGAGCTTCTCCTTAATGGAGGTACAAACCTTGGACAAGCAGAGGTCTCCCTGCTTTAGGCCTAGCTGGATTTTAATCATTAATGGATCTTTGGACAAAATTATCTCTTTTGACACATCATTTGATTAGTGTTGATTTTTCTCTTCCACAGACTGTTTGCTTCTGTTAGTGCAAGAACAAAATAAGATACATGGGAATGTAGCTTATAAATTCAGGTGTGCTTTTTATGTTTCTTGCATGCACACCTGAAAAAGTTTAGGAAAAAAAACGTATTAGATCAGAAAGAGACAGTTTTTCACTAACAAAAATAAATATTTGAGCATTTTAACTAATCACTTTTGTATGTTAAACATAATAGTAGATACTATGCTAATAGCCTCTTAGTCATACATCTAAAATTAGCTAATTACCTTTAGATTTTTTTTTTTTACTGTAAGTATGTTTGGGTTTTTAAAAGTATATTTCCAGACAATTTTTAAATTTGACAGTGTGTTCTGTGAATCATTTCTACAATGACAAATTGGACTAGTAAGAAAACCCCTGTTGTGAAAGATTGATTTTTTTTTCTATTCTACTTTTTTGATAGTGATAAAAAGTCCTGATTTTTCTGTTCTTTTTCTCTCAGAGATTGTCATTCTCACTGTTGGGAAATAGGCCTTGATTTTTCCTGCTTAGGATTTCATTGTTGATTAAATGACCCATTTTAACTAGACTGTATTTATTATAAATATCATATGTTGGTGTACTTGAAAATTATAGTCATCTGTTACTTCTTAGTATATCCCAGACTGAACAGTTGACATGAAAACATAGCCAGCTAAGATTAATACATTGCATTTGGATTAACATCACGTGGCAGCTCTTGCTTATTCTTGTCATACTACCAGATAACACTGCGATTTGAGGAAAATGGTGATTTAAAGAGTTATCAATGTCATTAAGGAATTTCCCAAGCATGGTAACATTTTTAAAAGAATGTTGCTTTGGGGTGGCTAGGTGGCACAGTGGATAGAGCACTGGCCCTGGAGTCAGGAGGACCTGAGTTCAAATCCGGCCTCAGACATATAACACTCACTAGTTGTGTGACTCTGGGAAAGTCACTTAACGCCAATTGCCTCACTCTTTTCAGAGTCCCATTCTTATATGTGTTTTTTGAGCTCTGCAGGTCAAATGTGCTTGAGTTTAGGGTCATTGAACATTGACATTCTTTTTAAATTAAGGGATTTATACGGTATAGTTTTCTTAAATCTGTTTTGAGATGTCCTTTTAGAATTAGTATTGCATTCTTATTTTCCCCCCAAAATTAGTAATTTTATCTCTAGGGATTTTAATGAGAGACTATGAAATGTCTTAGTTATCTATTTATTTTGTGTATATACTCTTTCTTGTGTATATATTCTTTCCTCCTCCTCCCCACCCCCCAAACAGATACACTACATATGACTTCATTAAGAGTGGCTTGGAATAAACTAGACTGCCGGAAGACATGGGTTCCTAATTCCATCTCTAACATTATCTTGCAATGAGTGACCTTAGACTTTTAGCTTTTAATATTGCTTAATTTTCATTTGTAAAATTTGCAAGATATAATAAATAAAAGTGACTGTAAAACTCTTTGCAAAAAATGGTAAAAATGTAACTGATAAAGTATATTTTATTTAAATGCATTTACTAAATGATATTTACTAAATATTAAATGCATAATACAAATAATCTCATTTTAATGTAATCCAATTTGACACAAATCAAACCAACTAAAGTTGAAATTATTATTATTTAGCAAAATATCAGTGTTATATAGTAGAATAACCACAGGCCTTGGATTCAGAGCACTTGAATCTATGGGTATGCTGGAACCACCTCGAACTGCCTCGTGAGAGCCATTTATTAAATTTTCAATGTGAACAAATATTTATACCTCAGAAATTGACAAACACTATAATATAGGGTTTGAATTATTGTTTTCTTGATTGTTTAGACTTAAGAAAGTGAGACTTTGATTTATTGCTTTCTTGATTGTTTAAAATTAAGAAAATGATGGAGAAAATATTAATAATGCAGATGAAATGTAAAGAGTGTCTTGTGTTAAACATTTACCAGCATACCCTGTCTGAATCCCAGTCCCAGGTTTGCTACTACTGCCTTGCTGTGTGACTTTGAGCAAAATCAATTAGTCTCTCTGAGAGTCTGCCAATGTATAAATTGAAGGGACTGGATGAACTAGTCTTAAAGATGTCATTGATTCCTGATATGCTATGATACTATAATAAGTTTATTGTGTTTAAGAAGTTTATGATTTATACTTAAAATTTTTTAAAAGAACAGGAAGTATGATGGCTAAGCATAATGTAAGTCTGTTTTTCTCATTTTTTTTTCTAGTCAAACTTTGCCATGGGCCGGTTTCCTAGTACTTGTAGAAAATGTTATATGCTGGATTTTGGCTTGGCTCGACAGTTTACCAATTCCTGTGGTGATGTCCGACCAGTAAGACTTTACTTCACTATTTTTAAATATCTAGGATTTATTCTGTTGTTATGCAGTTACACTTAGGGGAAGTACCCTTTTCATAATGGATTGAACTTCCCTCCAGGAAGTAATTTATCCAGTTATATGTCTGCATCTTAGAATGAAACTCATTAATAATTTACTGTTGAAAGCAGTGGCCTGAAAAACCAGCCCCATCAATGGCAGGGTAAGAGTGGTCCATTGATCAGGACCATATTTTTCTGGTGGAGGTTGGAGTCTTTTCTGCTCTGGCTAAAATTCTTCCAAGGTCTATTTTCTGTATGCGTGCCTAGGTTCATTTCTAACGATTAACCTCTACCAGTTTCACTTTAGTCTAAGTTGAAACATTAGTTCTAATGGATTGAATATATCTTGGTGAGTATATATTAGTTACATAAAAATGTGAATATGCAATTGAAAACAAATACATATTAAGTTCCTTACAATTGTGGAGGAGTTTCTTGACTATCCTGGTAATGGACTGTATATAATTATATCCAGGAAAAATTTTTAAAAGGCCTTAGATTTCATAAGAAGTTATCTAAGATAACCAGATTCACTGACCTTGCTGTCACCATTGAATGAATAGTGAAGGAATGATAGGGAATAATTGGTCTCCCTATTCTCTTTAAGGCCTTGCCTCCCCAAGTGATATGTTGTGCATTATTATCTACCCATTTACCCAGTTTTCATCTCTAAATAATGCTGAGTGGAATTAGCAGAGCTAATCATGGTAACCTGTCAGTCCTGCTAACTGAGGATATAGGTATTTATCAAACCAAAACCAATCTATCTCCCCTTGTGGTTCGTGAATCTTCATAAGTTTGATTTACTGTAAATCCCTGGTAGCAGTATTATTTAGACACTTGCTTTATCTTTTGTTGGTTATAGGTGATGGGTTTATTTCTAGAGATGGAGGTGAATAACATAGTCAAGGTCACAGATGTGTTCACTTTCAATCTGCTAAAGTAGTGACCAAAAATAAAATGCCAGGATTCTTTCAAAACAATATACATGGAATGAGTATAATGCAAGTACATTAAGGGAAGTTATATAATGCTAGCAATCATAGTTATTCTAGCTCTCATAGCATATATTAAAGTTAGCTCCCATAGTTGAATCTTGAATTAATATAGTAGTTTGCTATGATGATATTGACTAACTGAGTCTCTTATTGTCCCATTTGATGCTCTTAACAGAGTGTCCCAATGGTATTTACACTGAAAAATAGAGAATATTCAAAGTATCCCTTGAGTTGCACAGGCTGTTTCACTAGTAGGTACTAATCTATGTAACTAGATCTTCAAATCAAAACTTGATGTTAAAAAGGGTGGTTATTTTGACTTTTTCCAAGTGTTATAAGTTGATTAAAAGTTCTTGCAGTAGATCACAAAGCCTGATCAGTCATACCTTTCTTAAGCTCAGACATGTACATCTTTATAACAGTCTCTTTCCAAACTGTGCCCATTGCTATACTTGCACATTGATAATTTGCCTAGAGACCTGAGAAGCTCTATATATGGAGCTTCTGTGGTAGGAGAGTATCTACATTTTTTTTTAATTTTAAAGTTTTCAACTCTGAATTTCCCCGATTCTGAGTGGGATTTTGAATCCCCTATTTTCCCAGTTCTTTGGTTGAAATAACCACTCTACTTAAATATTAATTCAGTCAGGAAGACCCAAGTTCAAGTGCTTACTAGCTCTGTTACCCTGGACAAGTCATTTAACCTCTCTGGATCTCAGTTTTCTCATTTGTAAAGTAAAGAAGTCAGACTCAGTGGCCTCTAAAGTCCCTTCCAGCTTTAAATCTTATGTTCCTATAAAGCTTTGGTACTTGAATCATGCATATCTTGGTGAGACCTACTTGGGGTTCCTCTTTGCTGTCCTATAGATTGTGTTATCTGCACTTGGCTGTCTTTCCCCAAAATTTGTAGGCAATTTTCTTATGATTTCTTGAAGTATGTTATTTATGAAATTGTTTCATTGGCCAATAAAGGAATAGGTAAAATCATATTCTTATCTCTTGGGAGACCAAGAATTCTCGGGTTAGTTTTCCAGTTTCTTTCTTCAAAGTCAGTTGCTTTGGTTTGTAAAGATCTCAAATATTCTGCCAATTTTGCTGTCTTTTGATTTTGTCCAAAAATTTCTTGTTGCTCACTGCATTTTTGTGTTTGATCTCTGCCATTATTTTACTAAAATATTCATCATTTTATTAAATTTCTTCACCTCTTATAAACCCATTGCTTTTCTTTGAAGCCTTCTGAAGGCTTTTTACTTTTGCTACTTAGGTCTTTCTTTAATCATTTTATTATGTTTCTCAACCACTTTGGGTATACTTGAAATGCTGCTAATCTTATGTATAGCAAACTAGCTTCAAGTACTACAGCATTACTTTTTGCAAGATTAATCATCTTTTGAGAGGTGGAGCCAAGATGGTGGAGTGAAGGCAGGGACTTGCCTGAGCTCTTCCCCAAACCCCTCCAAATACCTTTAAAAATGACTCTAAACAAATTCTAGAGCAGTAGAACCCACAGAAAGATAGAGTAAAACAAATTTCCAGCCCAAGACAAGTTAGAAGGTCAACAGGAAAGGTCTGTTGCACCAGGGTGAGAGAGGAGCACCGTCCAGCATGCGACCAGGCCCCAGAAAACCAGCAGCAAGCCTCGGGATGCCTGAATCACTGGCAGCAGTCGCTTTTTCCAGACCTCTTAGCCCACAGACACCAAAGACAGCTTAGAAGATCAGCAGGAAAGATCCATCGCACCTGGGTGAGAGTGGAGTGCAGACCAGCGCAGGCCACACCAACACACCCCTGGCCACAGCAAACCAGGAGCAGGCCTTAGGAGTGACTGAATCAGCAGCAGCAGCTACTGCTTCTAGAGTTCTCAGCCCAGAAACAGTAAGGAGGTCAAACAGCTGATCAGAAATACAGTACAGAGGTCTTTTTGCTAGCACTGAACAGGACTCTCATACTGAGATCTAGGTTCTGGGTGGCAGTCCCAGGGTGAGGAGAGCACTAACATAACAGGGCTTGTGGCAGCAGTGGAGGTGGGACCCTCCTCACAGTTTCAGGGCAGAAAAGAGTGCCTGTGATCACTCACAGACCAGAGCACAGTCCAAGAGAGTAGTAAACACCTCTCCTTAGATCTTACCACCTTGGAAGAACTGAAAACTTACAGGTCCCTACAGGTATCTCTGAAAAAAAGCTGCACAAAATCCCTGAAGCTTGGGACAGTGCGCCCTCCACCCTGGAAGCAGAGCCCTACTTTAACAAAGAGTTAAAAGTCAACTAATAGGCTAGGAAAATGAGCAAACAATGGAAAAAACTGACTATTGAAAGTTACTGTGGTGACAAGGAAGATTAAAACACACACTCAGAAGAAGATAACAAAGTGAAAACTCGTACATCCAAAGCCTCTAAAAAAAATATAAATTGGTCTTAGGCCATGGAAGAGCTGGAAAAGGATTCTGAAAATCAAATAAGAGAGGTAGAGGAAAAATTGGGAAGAAAATCATGAAAAACGAATCAATAGTTTGGTAAAGGAGACACCAAAATATACTAAAGAAAATAACACCTTAAAAAACAGACTAGGCCAGACGGCAAAAGAGGCCCCAAAAGCCAGTGAATAGAAGAATGCCTTAAAAAGCAGAATTGGCCAAATGGAAAAAGAGGTCCAAAAGCTTACTGAAGAAAATAATTCCTTAAAAGTTAGAATGGAGTGGGGGCAGCTAGGTGGCACAGTGGATAGAGCACTGGCCTTGAAGTCGGGAGGACCTGAGTTCAAATCTGGCCTCAGACCAAACACTTGACACTTACTGGCTGTGTGACCCTGGACAATTAACCCCAATTGCCTCGCCAAAAAACAAACAAAAAACAACAACAACAACAACAAAACCCCCCAAAATTAGAATGGAGCAGGGCAGCTAGGTAGTGAAGTAGATAGAGCACTGGCTCTGGAGTCAGGAGGACCTGAGTTCAAATCTAGTCTCAGACACATAATACTATCTGTATGACCCTGGGCAAGTCATTTAACCCCACAAAAAAAAAATTAGAATGGAGTAAATGGAAGCTAATGACTTTATGAGAAATCAAGAAACAATGAAACAAAACCAAAAGAAAGAAAAAATGGAGGACAATGTGAAATATCTCATTAGAAAAACAACTGACCTAGAAAATAGATTGAGGAGAGGTAATTTAAAAATTACTGGACTACCTGAAAGCCATGATCAAAAAAAGAGTCTAGAAATTATCTTTCAAGAAATTATCAAGGAAAACTTCCCTGATATTCTAGAATCAGAGGGTAAAATAGAAATTGAAAGAATCCATCGATCACGTCTTAAAAGAAATCCCAAAAGGAAAACTCCCAGGAATATTACAGCAAAATTCAGAGTTCCTAGGTCAAGGAGAAGATATTGAAAGCCAGCCAGAAAGAAACAATTACAGTTATGGTTGAGCCACAGTCAGCATAACACAAGATTTAGCAGCTTCTACATTAAAGGATCAGAGGGCTTGGAATATGATATTCTGGAGAGCAAAAGAGCTAGGATTAAAACCAAGAAACATCTACCTAGCAAAACTGAGTATAATCCTTCTGGGAGAAAAATGGATATTCTGTGAGATAGAGGACTTTCAAGCATTCTTGATGAAAAGATGAGAGCTGAATAGAAAATTTGACTTTTAAATACAAGACTCAAGAGAAGCAAAAAAAGGTAAGCAGGAAAGGAAATTGTAAGGGACTTAATAAGGTTAAACTGTTTACATTCCTACATGAGAACATGCTATTTGTAACTCATTTTTCTCATTATTAGGGTAGTTAGAAGGAACATATATAGACAGAAGGTCCAGGTGTGAGTTGAATATAAAGGGATAATATCTAAAAAGTAAAATTAAGGGGTAAGAGAGGAATGTACTGGGAGAAAGAGAAAGGGAGAGGTAGAATCAGGTAAGTTCTCTCACACAAAAGAGGCAAGAAAAAGTT